AATCTTGCCAATATAGACATAGCCCCTGTGTTTTTCAATCCGTGGTACGAGTCACCTTAGGGATACACAAGAGAAGTCTGGCAGTACTCAACACAACTGACATTTGGAGAAAACTGTTTTTTTGTGTTAAGTTTTACAGCACTTTATTTTTGTACTTCTTACATCCAAAAATGTCATTGTCTGCCTGGCTGTAATTAAGTTGTTTAAACAAATGTGTTGCAATGGTAGAAAAAAATTGTCTGAAAACTGTAGGTCCTGGGGGTACTTAATTTTTTTAAAAGAGGGGTAGGTACTTTATAAACAAAAAAAAAGGTTGAGAAATACTGAAGTAGTCAATAGAATTTTTGACTACTCAGTTAGTTGACAGGGGACGGCAGCCAGCTCAGCCCAGGCTCCTGCTGGGACCAAACCCCACTGCAACTCTGCAATTTAAAAGGCAGTAGGAACCAGGGGGCAGACTGCCTGGCTCCTATTGCCTTTTAAATTGCAGAGCTGCAGCAGGGTTTGCACCCAGTGAGAGCTTGGCTGGCAGCAGCCCCTGTCCACAGGGGTCCCAGCGGGGAGTTGGGACCCTCTGCAAACAGGGTCTACTGCCAGAGCAGCCTCCCTTGGTCCCCCTCCCCATGCTAGCACAGGTGGGATGGGGAAGTGACCCCACAGAGATGACTCCCTTCAGCACCGGCTCCTTGCTGCCACTGATACAGGGAGGGAAATGCTAGTAGTTGAGCTGATTGCTGGATAAACCTAGACTTATCAGGTAGTCGACTTATCAACTACTTTCCACATCCCTTACTCTACTTGCTGAGTGGTCATCAATTAACCAACATTTCTAAATAATGAAATGCATTTTGCAGTTATGAAAGTTCCTGCTTTCCCTCCCCCTGTAATGTTTTGACAGCCTTTCAAATGGAGCTGTCATTGTTAGAGGGCTGAGAAGATGCCACTTAAATAGTTTGATTTATATGACGCTTACACTGCTGTCTTGACTCCTGATTTGTTTTTCTCCCATCTAATGCTTAAATTGCTGATCTCAGGTTTTGTCTTTATTAGAATGAAGAATCCATCAATAGTTGGAATCCTGTGCACAGATTCACAGGGCCTGAATCTTGGCTGTAAGTGACAAAGTAGCTTATTTCCTTCAGTACATGGGAATGTTGTCCCAGAAACATTTTAATGTTGAAATATTATGCATGCTTTAAAACACACACCAGAAAAATAGATTTGCTCTCAGCTTTGTCTAGGTTCCTGCATTTTCTATTACTCTCCATTTCTTACTCATTTAAAAAAAATCCCATTTTTATCCTTGCTCTACTGTCGCAATACTTGAAACATCAAAATGTTCATGGTCTGTGTGTCTGCTTCTCTTAAGAAAACTAATCTACGTAGGAGGAACGTCTAGCCTTTATTTTAGTGATGAAATGTATTTATATTACTGTAGTGCCAACAAGCTCTAGCTATAGACCAGGTTCCTGTATGTCCTAACATAGAGAACAGGCTAAGAATAAGAGAATCTAGCAATAAGCAGCTGTTGCTGATTTGGTAACTGGTATCATTTGATCACTGGTCATTTAATTAGACGGTGGGAAACAAAATTTGGAATGAGGAGCCCAAAGATGGACTATATAATTGTAAAGATTGCTATTGTCAGAGGTATCTTGATGGGCTTATAGGTTAAAAGATCAGCTTATTTCAGTAAAAATGAAAAGAATGGATTTGCATGAAAAAGCAGTACTGGATATTGAACTATATAAATCCTGCAACTATCACTATATAAATGCATCAGTCACAGTTTTGACTACTGTATTTATCTGGGAAGGCTACAGCTAAGAGCACTTTTTAGCAATTACTTGAATATTGTGAAAAATGGATTAAATTAGGACACAGCCAGATAGTTCAGCTAACTTGTTAGGCTATGTAACGAGGGGTGTTACTTGTGTATTTTATAGGTCGGGGAACCCTTTCAGATGAACATGCAGGCGTGATATCAGTGCTAGCCCAGCAGGCAGCCAAACTAACTTCAGATCCTACTGATGTTCCTGTTGTGTGTCTGGAGTCAGATAACGGGTGAGCTTCTTTTTGAAATTGGATATGTCATTCCCTTTTCTCTGGGCCTTGCTCATATCTCATATGTAGGCTCTCCTGGAAATAGTTGATCTTTAGAACATCCTCCAGCTCAAGGTGATTCTGTTTGTGCCCCTGTTCAAGCTGACAGGAATGAAAATGTCACCTTCAGGGGCATATATGGCAGCAACTCTTGCCTTTCTCTGGAGCTTGAATGTGCATTGCTTTAAGATCAGGTCTCAGACCACTATCCAGAAAGGCATCCAAGGCAGTGCTGAAAGAACCCTCTGCCAGCAGTGGTTAAGCATTACATCCTTCTATTGGTAATTCCTGCGTCGTTCAAAATAGCTCTTTACACTTTATGGTCCTAGTTTTAATTCTCCTGAAAACTTTACAAAGACCTGACTCTCAGGAATCTCCTTAGTTCAAGCTTCTGGCAATAACTGGAGGTGGAGGAGTTAGGAGGAAAGACTAAACCCCAAATCTTTTCTATTCTAAAGAGGATGGAGATGGAAAACAGAGTTCTAATCTGAGATTCCTTTGACAGCATGCAGCAGATACTAAGTGTAAGCTACGTTTTTGCTTCTCACCTGCAGATTAGCTGCACTGAGAAGTCTTCAGGGTTGTAGCGGTTAACTATTCTAAACAATGGTTCCTGTTTTTCAGAAATATCATGATCCAGAAGCATGATGGCATCACTGTGGCAGTGCACAAAATGGCATCTTGACTGTTCGTACATCTGCTTGGGTCTTTTCACCTTTGGACATGCTGGTTGTTGGACTGCTCCATGTTCTCTGCTGCCAGAATACAGAATGTACTTGCAGAACTCAATTTGGGCCAATCTGAAATACATGGTAGCTTCCCTCCTTTAAACTGGTACCATACAGTCAGGGTCTAACTTCTAGCACGTCTGAACTTACTGTCAAGCATGGTATGTGCTTTAACTCCTCTTGCTTGTGTAATGTAAGCCTAATCTGTAGCCTTACATGTTGAATTCAATAAATTATCTGAACATACAGCTGGCTGTGGAAGCTTGAGTGGAATGCTGGTTTATTTGAACCTCACTGACCAACTCTAGAGAGACTGTTAGATTCATAAGCCTCCCTCTTGTACTCTCTTTTCCCCCCAGCCCCTCCCAATTATAATACCTATCCCTCATTTTCCAATGGTCCCCTCTCAAAACCATCAGGCAAACTGACTTGTAAGGTAAACAAGTTGCCTTTATACATCAAAGAAAGAGCCAAGCCCAATTAAGATTTTGTAAAACACCTTTAATCCTATATGCCTTTCAATATACATACTTTTCAAAACTGTTGCATAGGTCTTGGTTTAAAACTGAAGTTAAGGCTATCTTTACTTAATGTTTTGCTTCTGTTACTGTGACACTGGAAATGGATGTATCAAGATCTCAGTTTCAGGTCTCACTTTACCCCCTAATGATGTTAGAATTGCAGACACTGCAAGGAAAAAATTGTTTTAATCCCACTATCTGGGTGTTCAAGCATATATGGAAAAGTGTCTTATGGATAGTAAAAGCTTACTTGAGGTCAAATTTGACCTGACCATGTCCCAATTAACCCAGACAGGTGCAATCTTTGCTTTATGCCTTTTTAAATCAGTGTAAGGCAGCTTTAATACTGAGTTATATAATGGTGGACTCAAAGTGCCACCATCAGTAGACAGTACTAGACCCAATGACTTACGCTGTCAGAACTTGTGATTGCACCATCTGCCTGCTAATACAAATGGGGCATGTCTAAAGGAATCCCTTTTCAAGCTTCCTATTTGACTGTTAAAAGCTGTTTGATACCCTCAGCTTTCCTATAATGGTAACAGGGACTAAGCTGTTCTTATGGCTCTGCCAATCATGGTCTTTCCATTACCAAACAGTGCATCAAGGAAATTCAAGAGTACTTAAGCTGTCCAAGATGCATTAAGGGCCTCAGTTTTGTCATCTGGAAGGAATGCTTTTAAGTTCAGTGCCACATGTTGCTACATAGTTACTTTAGGGGAAAAGCCATATTTGCTGAAGAACAGAAACAGCAGGTGTATTTTCCCAGGCTTGCTCTAAACAATACAGGTGTTTCTTACTATCTGCTGGTAAGGGAAGTTGCATCTTTCTTTACACTGGTCCTTGTTTATAGCACTGTCAAGGTTGCTCCTTGTTGAGTGACAGCTATGGCAGCTTGGGGAGGGAGGGTTAAACAAACACAGGGGCTCAGGGCATTTTAATTAAAATAGGTGAGGGCTGGAACCTTTACACAGCAGAGCAGATAACTGCATAAGGCAGGCTGAGCATAAAGGAGACTGGGTAAGACCTGAATCCTAGTCTAGGGTAGTGGGGACTGGCAAACTCGCTCCCGCTCTGTTTCTGCTTGTGTAGCAGAATTACTAAGCCACTTCCAAGGGGAGCCTCTACAGCCAGAGCCAGCTCCAGCCTGCAGCACTGCCATGGCCTCTGAAGTGGCAGAGCTGCCACAGGAGAGCCGACTGCTGGCAAGGGCAGCAGATCTCACCTGTGGCCAGTGCTAATCCGTCTCACTCACGGAGCTCCCTATCCCCAGGTTGCAGCACAAATCTCAGCCTCAGCACAGGATGTCTCCACTGAAAGAAGAGGTTTCAGCAGTGAACTTGTGCAGGTGAGCTAGACACCTGCAGACTAGAGGAGACGGGGCACTGCAAGGTAACAGACAGCACCATGCCTATCACTGTCTGACCTCTTGGGAAAGCAACAGGGCTCTTATAGCATCTAGCTAATGCGTATTCATTTCCCTGCAGTAAAACCACTACTTTTAGCAATGAAGACCTAGCTCTAGCCTGGAAGCTCTGAGGCAGTTGTCAGCTTCAGGCAGGGGTCTAGGCAGGACTCAATGAACTGCCAACATCAGTGAATTCAGAAACAACAAATGATCTGGTCTTGCTTATGCAACCTACTATGCAGCAGGAAGGTTTCTGGTGCCTGTCTCTACCTGCTGAGACAGACAGGTTCAGATCCGGTTCCTGTGCTGGAAGCTGGTTTTGTTCATTAATGCCACCTACTGGTCAGTATGGTGACTGACAAGCAAACCCACATGCATATGGATGGTACTTGGTCCTTTAAGGGCTCGAATTTCCATTGAGACTGATACTTTCAGAGAGCTTTGTTTCCCCACCCTCCATCATGGGGGAAAGGTGGGGCTAAAATGCCTTAAATATGCTAATGACTTCCTGAGGGGAGGATAAAGTCCAAAAGGCCCTGCATTTAGCGGCTTGCTTTTTTTTTTTTGCTAGCTCTGCCTCGTGGCTTCTTTCAGAAGAATGAACCCCGTGTTCCCTAGTGCAGAGAGAAATTAAAGAACAGACTTAAGGGAACTAAAGCAAGAGGCTACAGCTAGCCCCAACAACAAATGAAGAGAAATTATTTTTCTTAAATCTACTTTTTTGCAGCATCTCATGCATCATCCAGACGGTAAGAGAAAAGCTTTTAAAGCTCCGGGTTACAATCTCCTTCCTATTCCCCCCCAGCTCAGCTGCGCTATTTAGAGGGCAAGAGAAAAGTTTGTTTACTTTCCTCCTCCCTTGGGTCTCTGCTACACTGAGGCAGAACTCCTGGAGCAAACCCTGACACAAACCTTGCCAGCCCACATCCGTAACTGGTGAAGGACACATGGTTGCAAAGGGCTTGGGGAAGAGGCTCAGGGGCACACATCTGGGGATAATAATCGAAGGGATGGTGAAGCAGGCTCCCTGCCGCTGGCACAGTCTGAATTATGTATCCATACCCCAAAGAAACCTACCTGAATATCCAGGAGTCACCTTTAATGGGGACAGCTGTTGTCTAGAACTGAGTAAGAGAGTAGGAGTTAGAAAACCTGAGTTCCAGCTTTGCCACACTGCAAGCCTGAGCGCCTCCTTCCCAAAGGGCTAACCAGGCCAAACATCTTTTTAAAAGCACCTGGCCATCTGACAATGCAAATATCTCCTCCCAGGTTAAGCGCTGCAGGGGCTGGTGAACAGGAGGCAGGATAGATTAATAGATGTGGATGTGGATGCAGATACAAAATCTGTCTCTAGAACCCTGCAAATTTGCAGACAGCTGCTTCATATCCACAGGGATCCACCTCTACAGGTGCCAATGTGGCTAGCCACAGCTCATTTTTGGGGATACAGATGCGGATGCAAATTTTGTATCCAGGCAGGGCTCTACAGATGAAAGCAACTCTGTCAGCTTTTGTTTCTAAAGTAGAATTCACTTCCCAGGAGTGCCCTGAGTCCTGTTTCCCTAAAGGAGCCTGATAAGTAAAGTGCAGTCTGACTACTTCCTGCAATTCTCACTTGCAGGAAGAAGTGAGGGGGCAGAAAATCAACCACCAGCAATGAAGGAAGAGAAAGAGGTGCCCACAGCCCTGGATGGAGGCTGGGGATGGATGATTGTGCTTCACTTCTTTCTGGTATGTCGAGAACCCTGCGGGGCCCTCTGGAGTGAAGTCCTGGAGGAAAGACGTGTTCACAGGTTGTGTTCTCTCAGGCTATGTCTCAACTACATTCCTCTTTCGGAAGAGGAATGTAAATGAGCCCAATCAGAAATGCAAATGAAACATGGATTTACATATCTTACACTTCATTTACATAATCACGTGAGCATGCTTTTTCAAAAAAGAAACTGCAGTTGAGATGGGTTCTTTTGAGAATTTTTTCCGAGAGAACCTGTATTCCTGAAAAAATGAGGTGTATATGGGTTTTCTAAAATGGTTTTTTTCCAAAAAATACCCAGTCTAGACTACAGGTCCCCCCCCAACCCCTTTTAAAAAAAGCGCTCGATTATGCAAATGAAGCACAAGATTTGTAAATCCACACTTCATTTGCATTTTCAATGGGGCTCATTTACATTCCTTTCGGAAGAGGAATGTAGTTTAGACGTGGCTTTAGTTGACAAAACCAGATTGTGTTGCACATGTATCACCACCAAGGAGAGGGGAGTCCTACTTTGAGTCTAGCACACTGCTCTGCAAGTCTACAGGTGGAGATTGTGCTCACCACAGTGAAATGGGTAACTAGTTCAGAAAGAGGCCTGATCTCTGCCCTTCATTAAGCAGCAGTTGGACTTGGTACTCTCTGCT